AATCTACTTTATCAGTTTTAGATTTTATCGCCACTTTCTCAACAAGTGAGGAGAAAAATAAATCCTGCAAATTGAGTTTCCCTCTATTGGTGGCGGCCTTCGGTTTATCTGCAGCTCATTGCCCTATTGGTCGCTACTGGCTTGTTGCTGTTAAACATAACGAAAATTGGATATTCTGTTAAACTGTCTATTAAGCAACCAAGGGGATAAAGAGCATTAGGGCGGGGCAGGAGCCCATTATGGGCTCCTCGGAGGAGCGAAAAGGTGAGCAAAAGGCCTGGTAGTAAGGCTGAGAGTTTGCTTGCCATAGTCACGGAAAGCTTGACTCAACTAGATCATACATGCTCTGGGAAGATTGTCATATGAAAAGGGTGGGATTAAACTCATAACAAAAACTAATTGTGGCGTGGCTCAAGATTTATTTGACCCCTAAACAATACTACTCTAAAACAGGGCACCAAATAAAAGCTTTACTCAGACGTTGTCATTGCTTCCCTTCTTTTTTCCCATGTTTATTTCTCTCTCTATTTCTTTTCCTGCAGCCCTTAGCGACACCTGCGTAACCTGCGATTAGGTGGTCCTTTTTGGGGGGAGGAGCGCGGAAGTTGGCGGACGGCCCAGGAAGGAAGGATTTCCTGATCGTAGGCTAATAACGGGCATGGTGCTTCGTCCTGAGTACAACGCTAAGTGATACCAAAATCTTCAATTACACCTCTAAACAAAACGACCAGCATCCCCGCTTTGTATGTGAGATTTAGAGCATACTAAGTCCAAGGCTGCCAATGATTCATTGTGACTGCCAGTTAAGGGACTGGACACGACTAACACAGTGATAGAAAGCAATGGTACAAGTTTATCCCATTGCCTAAGTTTCAGTTCGTTCTCTCATCATTATGTGTGACAGTCGACGGACTGTCATCTTTAGATTCTCCTTTGTTTTGAGCACGTTACATTTTCTGCCCGAAAAAAATTCTCACCACATTTTCTGATTTCTTCGTCGTCACCATAGCATTGCCCTCCGCCCTCAGTGTCTTTACATTCTCGGGTTCTCTTTTGTTGATAGTTTTCGTCACAGTCCTTGCTCCATTCTCCCCATGAAGTATAATTGCCATCAACTAAGAGATAAAAGAAAAGAGAGTTAAATGAGCTTTATTTCATTCAGTTGAACTTCCTGTAAGCGACCATCGAAAAAGGAGAAGACTTAGTGTTCGTTTATGAGAGGTTGTCGCTTACGAGAAAAGAACCACTGGGGTTTCTTCCGAGAAGATGTCCGGACACATCTACTTTTGGAAGATAACTTATTGCATGCTATTAAGTCACTATATTTGCCCATTCAGGTGTTGCTAAGGGCTGTACATAAAGAAATTTACAGAAAATACCGTCACACTGACCACACAGAAATCTAACGTTTAAAAAAGAACTCGACCTCCCTGGCACGACACAAATCTTAGGATATGTGCAGTTCCATGTACGTTGTTACTTAAGTTCTTCGCATAATCTTAGTAGCATACTACACATAGTGAACATGAGAGATAAGAAAACTCGTCAAGTGGTCGCTTACAAGAGGTTAAAAACAATGAAAAATCATTAAACCCGGTCAGCCCCAAAACAGTAGTCGCAGTCGCTTACATGAGGTGGTCGTTTACGACAGGTTCTATCCAACTGCAGTGCTTTGACTGGGAAAGTTTTGGTGTTTTGAATATTTAGTCGCTTACGAGAGGTAAACGCACCTGGAGGTTCGACTGTATACGCTTCATAATCACAGAAACATATATACTACTCTATATTCCATTAACATGAAAGATTGCCAGACACCTTTCTAGCATGTTATTGGTGATTTATCTTACCATATTATCAACAAATCATTATTTTAGAGAACTGTTTACAAGGACGCAAAACTATGAACTATTACAGATAAATCCTTAGGCTGTGAATGCAGCCGGCTGTCCTCGTTTCTCGCGGCTAGGGACGTTTTGCGCGAGCCTCTCCCTCGAAACCTCTCCATGCAGCGGGGAAGAGCGAGGAGACACGGCTGTATTGGCAGGCTAATAAATCCTTGAAATAGTGAAAAAAAAATTGTACTTATTTTATAAAACTTGGCCCCTTTTGATTTTTTTCTCCATTATCCGAAAAAATTAAGTTTTTCTTACCCACATTTACTGCTTCGACTCTTAACCTAGCTGTGTCCACGTCAAAGGCCCCAAGCGTGTTATTTTCGGCCGCTCTCTGTAATGCAGCTTCGGTTACATTGACATCTTGAGTGTTTACATCCAGGTAAAATTTGGTTTCGACTTTTGAGGAGCTCCTTTGAAAGACGTGAAATGTTAACAGGAAACTAATGAATTAGTACAATGAACAGTATCTAAACCGCCCCTCTTCTTTACGTGAAACTGGACGAAGCCTCAGGAGTCGTTTTAACGAACATTTGCGAAGTATACAGGACACCCAGGAGTGTTGTTGCGTACAACATTTCATTGCCAAGGGCCATAGCATTTTCTGATGTCCAGGTGCGTGGTGTGGCTCTTTTCAGAGGAACGCCAACATCCAACGTTAGCAGCGAGAAATGAGGATGATTTTTCAGCTATGAACCGTTCAGTCGAGAAGACTCAATATCAAGTTCAACTTCATTTGAACTGTGACATACTTCAACCGCGCGCTACTATTGACACAGGCACGCGCTTCAATTTAATGTCTAACAATTGCGTAGTGCAACGCTTTTCTGGACTTTGAAGAATGGTTATACACCTGAAAAGTCTGTTTCTTCAAGACGTTTATGGCACGTATGATAATTTATTATAACATCGTCCTATAAGGCCCGGTTCAGACGCCGCTCCGCTCATGTGCCGAACCCAACTGATGAATTGAGTACGCCAAAAGAGCTGTGTCTGAATCAATTTACGGTACGGCAGCTTTAGTTTAGTACGACAAAAGCGTGACAGAGTTTGACAGAGTCTGTCGAACTTTTTTCGAACTTAACTTAGGCTCGATACCGGGCTCGACAGACGGTGCGTCGTCTGAATCAGATGTCTCGCCAGAGTGTCGCTCTAAAGTCAACCTTCTTCAATTAGGTTCGGCACAGGAAAAGTACGGCGTCTGAACCAGGCCTAAGCTATCTGGTGTAGCCTGAGATAACCAGAGGCAGCGTCGCAAAATGTCCTGTTTCTCAGGCTCCCCCTAGTGTTTAAAAATCTAATCACACTTCACCATCAGTTCACTAATCATAAAAATATATTGTCTATTCGACTAAGAAATAAATAATAATAGTAATAACTTTATCTGTGTGTCAAAGTAGTTAAGCATACCTGCTGATTGGAGACACAGTAACAAAGCAAAAATATTAAAATACTACTTATGCACGAAAAACAGCTTTAACATAACTCACGCCTCAGTAAATTCAAAAGTGTGTATCTTGTCCACCACTGTAAAGTATGACCCTGTTAGTAGAACCCTCTTCCACTAAAGGGGACACAACAGCTTTGAGTTAGTGTTTTTCTTTCAATAAATCAGCAAAAACAGCAATCTCCTTGTTGTTGTCGGAGACAAAATTTACTTTGGCAAAAAAATTCCAAATTCCATTTTCTGAATCCGCACGAATGGCAAATAGTATCTTGTAAAGTAGCGTTAAAGTTGTTTCATTTGAATGGAAATCGGAAGATTTAAATCAAAAGTAAGAAGTACTGTACATACAAAACAAATAGTGCCATGTGAAGGTACTGCTGAAGAGGTGTCATTTGAATGGTCACACCTTAGGATTTCATTCAACAAGTTAAAAGTTAGAACTACAGACTAAATAAGTAGTACCATGTGAAAGTACTGCTGAAGAGGTTTCATCTGAATGGTAACACATTAGGATTTCATCCAACGACTTAAAAGTTAGAACTATAGACTAAACAAGTAGTACCACGAGAAAATACTGCTGAAGAGGTTTCACCTAAATGGTCACATCAATGAAAAGATTTGGTCCAAAAGCCCTAATTTTCATTTTTTCAGTCTATCTTACTAGAACCATATAATAACTGTTTTGTACGGAAGCATTTCTGGAGTTTTTTTTTTGTTCGGAGTTACATAAAGCCGTATTCTCCTCCACCACCACCACCTCTCTCTTGATGTTGCCGACTTTCCATTTTTCAATGGGTAAAATGCATACCTCTTTTTCTAACCGTTCTGAAAAATCGCTGAACTCCTTTGATGATTTATTTTGAAGAGATGCGCTCCAACCTTCGCTGGTGATGACTAATTTCTCGACTTGGAACCTTTCAACTGTCGAAAGAATCAACTAGAATCAGATTCAGTTATACCAACTGGCATGCGTAACTGCAGTCGAAGCTCCCGTAAGCGATCACCTCGGAAATTCGGAAAATGGTCGTAACTCACGAGAATGAGCTCTCGTAAGCGACCGCATGGAAAACCAATAGAGAGTGGTCGCTTACAGCTTCAGAAACTCATTAATAATTCATAAAGAAAAACAAAAGAAACTAATGTTTAATGAGCGTCTTTATATCTGATATACATCTAATTTTTTAGACCAAAATAACCACAAATCTAGATATTAGCGCAAGAATGAGTTAATACAGGTCACCATATTTTGAAGCCGTTCAATGAATCGCACAGTTTGTGTTTTGTCGGGTGTTGATTTATATGAATTAGACTCTGAGTGGTCGCTTACGAGAACTTAAAAACAAAGGAAAATGTCCATTTTGTTAATCGCGGTGACTCACGGGAGCGGTCGATTACGAGAGCTTTTCATTAAGTTTAAGTTACAGTTCAAACGGGGTTTCACACAGGTGCACGCGGTAGTAACTAGAGCTGGTCGCTTACGAGAGACGTCGCAACGAGAGCTTTAACTGTACTAATAATGTATCAATTCTTCGCTCCTGTTTTGAGACGCTAACAGTGCTTTAATTTCAAATTGAAAGAAAGATCTACAATTGGAATGGACCGCGAGTTTACAATAAAAAAAAAACAGGTCGGAATGGTCTTAACTTAAATAGTAGGTTATGTCTTGAAAAACGCGCCAAAATGGACTGCCACAGATAGTGTGGGAATATTTCTGTCAAACACACACCCCAGAAACCGTAGGTTTGATACTTACTACCACATTTCAGTGGGCCGCACTGTTCTGCGGCATCCCTCCTAAACCTTGAGTGATGATGACGTAACTGGAACTCGTGGAAGTCGTCCTCATTTTCCACGCCATTCACTTCCATGGTTACTTCAATTTGAACTTCCCTTCTCTTCCTTGAGTGGGAATTTTCCGGAGGAGTTGCTTTGAAGTTTAACACAGAAGAATTATTTAGATAATCATGGAATAATCCCTTTTCGAGCTTTAATTTAAGCATGAGGAGAGGCTCCTGCAAGCTAAATAATACCCTGTTAATGGCTGCGTCCGACGATCCGAAGAACTCAAAATGGTAGCGAAATGGCACTCATCCATATAAAGGGGAATTACCCAGATTGTCGGAGTCGGAAGCAGAGGCGGAAGGATAAACCAATGACAGTACACGTTCCCACGCTTTGTGATTGGTTTGGTTCTTCTGCTTCTGCTTCCGACTCCGACTCCGACAATCTGGTTTTCACTAGATCATAAGCGGAACTTAAGCAACGGAGTCGTAAGCAGAATCGGAACGCTGTTTTCATACAGATTTGTACCACCTGGGTAAACAGGGCGCCCACAAAATCACCGCAAGATAAGGAAGCTTTTACCGTTGTCGAACGACTGTGAGAGTGAACTTCGTTCTCTTTAGAAAAGTACACAGACCATAATTAATGGCATTCTTGGTAAATTGAATTCCAACCCAAGCCACCCATGCCCATATAAACTAACTTCCTGATTATAATAATTGCTGATTTAAAAACGCGAGGAACAGTGGGGCGAGAGGCGAGTCAAAACGACCCCTTACCGACACCCAGTTGAGTTGTTTGCTGGTGTAAGGACAAGGGACATCTCAAATACTCTGTTAAAAGTTAACCCTGTGGTAGAGATAACAGGAGTTAAAACACATCGGCCTATGTTGCTCCGGGATACAGAATAATTACCTTAGGTTAACCTAATAGTGTGTATCAGAGGTAGAGTTTTTGATCATGATCTCGTCCAAGTTCTCTACTTACCATTTATCACGATCAATGGGCAATCAAATTTCATCTCCACAAAGTCGTTGACCTTTTGCAAATCTTTTCTTGTGCTTCTGTTGGAGCGGTCGGGAATGTCAGCAGCTCTCTCTTGGACACAGTCAAACTTCTTCAGTGAAATCACTGAGAAGGATTAAAAGGAAAAAACATGCAAGTTAGATAACGTATTTGTTTGATCCTGATGAATTTCAAAGAATCTTTAAACCTTAACGGAAATAGCCTGTGTCCAGACGCCTTCTCCCCTTCCAAAAAAACGAAACCTCCCCAATTTTGTTTAGGCAAAGAGGCACACAGGCTCTAACTGAAATAAAAGAGACGGGACTAAGGGGGTAGGTCTTGGATTGGATCTTTACAATTATGGTATAGGAATTTAAAGACAGGAGAGAGCTGGGTATTGACGGGTCACCACTCTGCTCATTTTTGTCTTTCTTCGCGGGATCAGGAGTCCACAATCTCCTGGTGGAATGTTAAACCTCACTTCCGATGCTCACCTGCGCCATTTTGCTGGACTCTTCTCCCTTCCCCTATGTACTGAGTCATTACACAAGGGTAGGATTTATTGAACACTCTCGGTAACTTACCTAGACTGTCAGTAATGTTGAAGTAGTCGATAGTTGCGTTTCCTGACTCATTGTATTTCCACAAGAGAGCCACGCCCTTTTCCGTTATGGAAACCAGCGTCTCAATAACTTTCTCGTCAACTGGTTTTGAGGTGAATGGGTCGATTGGCTTGGTAAATGCCTGTCCAAGCTGAATAGAAAAAACGTAACCACTTTATGATGTGATATTTCGGATTTCTCGTTCCATATTCAAATATCCAGCACAAGATAGAAGTTCTTGTTCAACGCTTCTTTTGCTATACTTTATGATAACTTGGACTTTGTTACTCAGGAAAATCAAACAGTCACACTTTACTTTGAAATGATGAACATATCATGAATTTCATATATTTGAACTTCGGGATAAAGAAATAAATGTCGATAGAAGAGATCATCACAGTTACTGATACGCCAGACTGTTCACAGTCCCCTATTTTTCCGTGAGATCGAAGATTTTGCGTTACGGGCGGCCATCTTGGATGATTGTTCAATCGTGACTTAGTGGGCGGGAAAGATTCTTGTTCGATTGACTACAATTCTCAACTAAAAGAGCGTGTTTAAGACTTCAAATTTCAGGTACACCTGAAGCTCATGCCCGGACTTTTATTTTCTCAGGTAAATTGGGAAGGGCGGGAAATACGGAAAATCCCTTGGGGAAAGTTCGCAGTTCGTTCCTTTATTTAGATTGTATTGATATCACACAAAAAAAACGTTCCATCTATTGTATTGTATTGATTAAATACCTCTTCTACTTGAGATCCAAACGTTTGTTCGATTTCTTGTTTATCCCATTCTGGAGGCATCGGATTTACCTACAAAACACATATATGATATATAAACAGCTGGATTGCCAGCACATCTCGGTAATTTGATTTTATATTTACTGTCGTCCAAGTTCGCTCAAAAAATAACTGCCCCTGTCTAAAGATAAGCGTCTGTTACTATCCAACAAAAGAGTGTGATCCTTTATATAATAGACAAGTTCCAAAAACTCTCACTTTAAAAACGAGGTTAAGTACAAAACCTTTCTTTTGAAAATGAATTTTACTAAATGAGAATTAAAAAATCATCTTTTTATGAATGGCTTCGCACTTCGCCTCGCTCTGAAACAGCGGCTTGGGGACAACTCAGCGCCTGTGAGACTCTGTTAGGGAAATGCATATATGCGCACGCTCTTATCCCAAATCTGGCTCCCAGATTAGCTCCCAGATCACATTTACAAAACCTATAGACATGCACAGACGCCAGAAAGATCTGGTTACGAGATTTGCCACAGCAAAAAGAAGAAATAACGAGGCTGTTTGTTATTTAGTAATGGATGAAAATTTCAGTTTAAAACTACCTGAGCTGAGGAAGACTGGGTAGTAGTGACCGAAGATGGACTTGGAGCCTGTGATTCCGTTATCCCGGATGTACTGAGAACGAGGGATGCATTTACAGAGCTACTAGTGATCGCTGCAACTGTTCCATTGAGCGAGTTACTTGCACTCACTGTTGGAGACGGCTGAATATTGCTATTCCCAGCTAAAAAATGTGGATAAATCATGAGACTTACCATCAGTTTACCATTACCCGAATAACCCTTAAAGTCCCGATAGTGACCAACATCAATTTCTCCTAACAATATCCATATGTTACCAAGAGAAATGGTTATGAGAGTTAATAAAATGATCACCTAAGAGAAAATGCTTTGATCTCCTACCAAATTCTCTCAACTTATTCCTTAAGGAAATGTAAAGAGACCAGTTTGGAGAATTTGTTTGTGGATATTGGGGCTTAAAGGGTTAACTACTTAGAACATGTGCAAAAAGAAACACAAAACAAAACAAAACAATTCGGCTCTGATTATGGCCCGGGGAGATTAGGTAAGATTCGGCGGCGTGGAGGTCGATAGGAGACTTACAAAACTCGCTATACAATCATTGAACAATAAAAAGTCAATTCAGGCCTTCTATTTTCATACAAGATGGATACCACTACGTTATTTTCTGTTGTAAGCTGGTTTTGTTTTGTGGTCATGGGTAATTAGCAAAAAGCTTTTAAAAATTAATGCAACCGTTTTCCTTTAAATTTGAAGCTTGAGTTATTCCTTCCCATACGATTACGATGATAAATATTTGAACCAAACAAAGATAAACAAGTCTTTTACCAGTCTGACATTTTTTTGTAGCCGATCGTTTTCATTTTATAACGGAAAACTTCTTAAGAAAAGTTTTTTTCTTTACTAAAAATATAAGGGGGGAAACGTTTTTCCTCCTTTTCTATCGAGAGATTTTTCTCTCCCTCATGGAGTGAGAATGTAATTAAAAAGACTGGAAAAGTTTGAATACGAAGTCAAATGGAAACAAGAAGACAAACAACACCGTATGTCATATTTCATATTGCAGGAGAATGCACCATATGAAACATAAAATCTTACTTGACGTTTGTCGGACATTTACGTCAGTTTAGTAGTGAGTCGGCAAGTTTCGTTTGTCCGTGACACTTAATCACTAGGCATTTGGCTAATGTTTACCAAATATGATGTTTTTAGTTCAAATATAAGGGTAGACTTCAATTTAATTGAATAGGCCTTTACTATTTTTGCACGAAAAGCCACCTCCTAGAATTTAAAAGGAAGGGAAATACATTGTCGAGTAAAAACACAATCTGGCAAAGGAAATCTTAACCACGATAAAAAAAAAAGCATTGAAGCTGACATGTTTGGCATGAAACATTGAACTCAACAAAAGAAACCCTCTCTTAATATCACTTTTAATAATCATGAAATTCTCGAATGCAAAGAAACAAGAGAGACAAATCCTTAAATCTGGTTTTATATATAAAAAAAAGGATTTGTATATAACACGCGCTCACACTTTCACACTGTCCGCATTTAGTTCTCCGGTCTGGAAATGGAAAAAATTAAACCTGTACCACCCGCCTGGAATTAGGCTTGCTTTATATATTTGCAAATGAATTATGCGAGGAAATGAATTTCAAAATTAAATAGCAAACAGAGTCGAAAGGGAAAATTGTTATGATCAATATTAGAATTTACTATTTAAAAAAATTATTTAAAGTCCCTCTACATCTGGTGAATAAAAATTTGGTACTAAACTACAGGCCATCAAAAAGGTCTACACGCGTATTTTTTCCTAGCGTAAACATCCTCTAAAATTAGCTCGAGTGCATGACTTTGACTTCTTATCTGTTTGCGTGTTTTTAAACAGCGACTGTTAATTTCTGGAAATACTAGCCGAGATAACGCTTTTCTGCACCTGTTCAGCTCAAACAGTTCCCTTCAAAAGAAACTATAGTCAGGATATACAAGAAAACCGAATTCGAATCCCCTGCAACAGTCAGTTTTAAATAGAGAGAACGTTTATTTCAAAACATTGCAAGACTGAGAAAGAAGCCTAGGGGATTTCTAACAAGAACGTTTTCAATTAAAAAAACTGAACGAATATTTACATGGCACTCAAGATCTTTTGTCAGACTGTGTAAGCTGCCCCGAAGGGGAAAGTTGTTGCTGAGGCTTCGTAGAATCTCGTGATAGCATTTTACTTATGTTTTTTTTTTAAAATTTAAAAGGTGTGTGCTAAGGTTTTGCGGCAAATATTTTTTACACAGTTAAAGGAATGGACCTTTAATATGAGAAAAAGGCGGATGATTTGGGAAGACATCTTCAATTTACCTGATAATGACATTGTGGCCTGGCTAGATGAATCTCCAGAATGGAGCAAAAGTAGACACAAAACCTGTGTCAAGAAATAAAAATACAAAGCAGAGCATTTGCATCAAAACCTATGATAATACAACGGTCAAAAAGCCCATTTTATACATGGTCCAAAATGATTTAGGATTAAATCCATAATTCGGACGTGATGCGACGAAAACTATTTAACGTACCTTAAGCGTAATGGATGTATTTAAACTTGTGGCCATGTTGAAACCACAAGTTCTGCCTTCTCACCGGGGATTAAAACTAATAAAACTGTATCAAAAGACTTGTTTTAGTCGTTTTCGAACCCAGTAGTGTGAAGGTTAAAGTACTACCTTCAAGGGAAGAATTACACGGCAGCTTTATCAGGCTGTTATGCATAATTTGCCCAAGAACCAAGATGGTCATTATTTATTTATAACAGCCGATCTTCATCGCTGTAAGCATGTTTTATTTAGGGATTGTTGAATAAATATCGTCACAATTCGCCTTGGCTTTTAGTCATTTTAAAGGGACGAATTTATAGGCGGGCTTTCCAAAAAACAGTTAGGTTCAAGGCAAAACCTACATTTTTATCTATGTTTTTGTAAGATATCACTTGCTGGGAAATTATAGAAATCCCTAGAAATTCCCGGAGATTTTGTCATATCGGTATCCAAGGAAGCCCTTGGAAATTCAATTCATAACCACCTGCTTAATTTCAAGGAATATGATTGGTTCGTCAATGTTCATTGGTCACATGATTGCTGCATTGCCGCGACGAATAAACCGTTGGTCAGTTCCAGTCTCTCATTGTTCATTCTTTTGTTGTTGTTTTTTTTATTTCACGCAAATTTTGCGCGCTGTCCAAATTTTAAAAGACAGCATGGTGCAATTTTAATTGGAGACCGAAGCATCTCCAAAAAGGAAAAAGGGCCATGGGAAGGGTTAACCAAAAAATGAGACGTGTGTGGCGTGCGGCTGCTTCTTTTGTCCTTCCCAAGGTGCCTTGAGCGCTTCGAAAATTCGCTCCCAAGCTCACTCGGCCCTGCACCCACGCATGGTTACGAAGCGAGTCGAGCCATCAAAGGGCTTTGTCTGGTTGTTATGGTGGCAAAATTTCTGGATCTCAACAAAAAGTGGTCATGCAACAGATGCCAATATGGCAGAAGAAAAACGAAAAAATTGACATGTATGACAGTTCCCGTGCATGATGATTTCTAGCCTGCGTAGCAGGCGCTTGGAAGTGGTGGGCACAAGAAAAAACGGGCGCGCGAGAAGGGGTCTCACCCCTCGCGTGTCTCCCTCACGCGCGCCCGTTCTCTCTTTCGCTCACTTCTTCCAAGCGCCTGCTACGCAGGCTCGATGGTTTCAGTCAGGAACAAAACGGAAGCCCGTGACTTTTCTCTCATCGTTTGACAATGCAAATGGCCATCTCCGAGTCATCTCTGTCAAGCAAGATTGTTGAGATCCAGAAATTTGGCTACGATTGTGACGTGACGTCACACTTCTCCCCTCCATTGTCCGAATTACAGAAGTGTCCATACATGAATAGGGACAACAGTCATAACTCATTTTTGATATATTTCTAACTGAAACACTGCCCATTAAGAGGAGAGGTTCGATTGTTAGCGGCAATATGTATATTTTTTTGCAGCACCAGTTATTCCAGTGTTTCGCTGGACTATATCAATCATTCGTTTAGTACAATCCACGGGGGAATCGCGAAATCGGCTGAGTAATTTGGGAGGGGATGTGCCGCTGGGACTGTGGGGCTCTTGACCGAAACTTATTCGATCACCTTTTATTTCTACTATATTTTAGACCTGTTACTGTAAGCCTAAGGACCAAAAAATTCCTACGCTATCCTAGATTAACCAGAAACTCCCAATCTTCATACCACTGATCAGTTTCCCATAAACGGGCATGCCTGGGAGGGGGAACCGGGGGGGCACGACACCCTACACCTTCGTTTCTTTCGGGCACCTTTCTAACATATGCGGAGTCCCCTAGTTTCGCGTAGTAGCTTGTTATTGCCTTCGGACAGACGTTTCCTATTTGCTTTTGTTGCACGCGGAAAAGGGACCTTTTCCGCGTGCAACAAGGGAAATAGGAAACGTCTGCAGGCAGGCAAGCTTGTTAGCGACGCGAGCGACTTGGCAAATGCTAAAAACCATGCCAAAAATAAACCTTGCCTCGCAGAGAAATGACACACTTAACTAGGCGAATATCATCTGATTTTTCATACCCTATCCAGGCGAAATTACTTGAAACTCACGCAACATATACGGCATCTGTCAAGAGAGTATTTTCCCTCCTGATTTCCCTTAATGCGGTGCCCCCTATACTCAGTTTTAGCCAAAATCGTAGGGTGCTGACAGAGGGTGTTTAGCACCCCAGTTGGCATTTTCGTCATTTGCGCTTGACGGGATTCTTTGTTTACGGTGAAATTCGAAAATGTTCCAGGGCAGTCAAAGCTTGTTAACCGAATAACAGCATTTTTTTATATATCCTCGGAAATAAACCGTATTTTTTTCAGAGGAGGAAATGGAATTTCAGAAGGTTTATTATAAAGTCATTCGTTATGCTTTCCTTCTAAATTCCCGCGAGAATTACTGCAACCTGTGACAGGTAAACGCTGATTGGTGGAGCCGAAACACGCAAAGATTAAAAGCAGGAGGCAGAGTAAATGATCAGGCAGTTCCATGGCATGTTTAGGAGTTGGTGAGTTTATTTCCGACAATGTTTAAAAAAAAAACAACTTAATTCTACATCGCTCTTACGTTTTATAGAATTGCCAGTACATAGGTCCGCGCATTTTGGCATTGTATTGTTGATTGCATCATAATAATTATGTTCTCGTTTGTTTAGCACGTGGTTTGATAGCAAGTGATCAATCTACGATGGCGAAGCTGTACGTGTTACTGGCGCTTCTCTGTGCGATCACTTCATCGTTGGCCGTAACAGACAGGGAGATTGAAGAGTTTTTGGATGTCTGCATCGACTCGAAGCACCATAAAGAGAAACCAGGGCCTGAAGCTGATGTGTTTAATCAGACTTTCCACTGCACGCCGTGGAAGAACCACGCGTGCTGCACAGCGAACACGACGTTTAATATCAAAAAAGACGGCGTGTTCTCTCTGTACCGCATGCATTGGGATCAGTGTAACACAACCATGTCACCGAAGTGCCGCCGATTCTTCGAAGTGGATACATGCATGTATGAATGCTCTCCATACATGAACCCCTGGATTGCGCGTGACACTGTGTCGAAGGTAACGCGAAAGGAACGCTTTCAAAATGTTCCTATGTGCAGCGAAGATTGTGATGCGTGGTTCGAAGCTTGCAAAGATGACTCCACCTGCTCGGATAACTGGGGGGATCAGAAAACTTGGAACTGGACGAAGCAAGGAAACATGTGTAAGAAGCCATGCAAGACCTTCAAAGAATACTATGGTGATGCGAAAACGTTCTGCAATAGGCTGTTTAACTACTCGTGGAAATACACCGAAGGCGTCAAAGGTGAAGATTGCATGACTCTGTGGCCAAATGGTACAACAAACATCAACAGAAAGGTTGCTGAGAAAAGAGCTAGAGAGATAATTTTGACAAGGTCTTCAGCATCCAAGCTAGCCTCAGGCTTCAGCGCATTAATTTTACTGATAGCTGCTACAGTGTACTTGATTTAAATTGCATAAACATCTCCAAGCAAATGAATTGTGTGACTTGATGGTTGATCATGTTTTTCTGTGACTTCAAATCCATTGTTAAACGTGCATAATTACTTGTATAATTCATTTATTTGTGACATTTATTCAAAAGGATTTTTTGGCATAAAGCCTAACTTTTTTGCAAAAAATCACCATACAATTTTAAATTTGTGTTACGTAATCACATTCTTTGCATGCTCGACGTTTCTTGCTGATAGTCGGCTTTGGTCTTCCAAGCCCAACTATGCATTATTAAAGCTTAAGTTTGTTTCAGCAGTTGATCTTTGAGTATAAAGTATAACATTGGTGTAAAAAAATAAAGAATGGAAACAATTGATCTTGGATGTTAATTTTTCTGAAAATAAAATCTGGCAAGCCAAGTGGGGGGTATGCCTGGGATATGGTGACCGGATGGTGCAAACAATTTTTTAGAGAGAAGATTTTGGCTTCATTTTTGGGTAGTGTAATTTGTTCAGGAATTTTCTTAGGTATTCAAAAATAGGAAGATTTGCTGTCAAAACTGGTTATGGTATATGCACATTAGTTGTTTGTCATTGGTTGTTTTAACATTTGCGAATTGTGTTACATTACACTGTTTCCAACCTTGAAGCCCTTGTGAGGATTTTAATGGGTTAAAAACTGANGACTCCACCTGCTCGGATAACTGGGGGGATCAGAAAACTTGGAACTGGACGAAGCAAGGAAACATGTGTAAGAAGCCATGCAAGACCTTCAAAGAATACTATGGTGATGCGAAAACGTTCTGCAATAGGCTTTTCAACTACTCGTGGAAATACACCGAAGGCGTCAAAGGTGAAGATTGCATGACTCTGTGGCCAAATGGTACAACAAACATCAACAGAAAGGTTGCTGAGAAAAGAGCTAGGGAGATAATATTGACAAGGTCTTCAGCATCCAAGCTAGCCTCAAGCTTCAGCGCATTAATTTTACTGATAGCTGCTACAGTGTACTTGATTTAAATTGCATAAACATCTCCAAGCAAATGAATTGTGTGACTTGATGGTTGATCATGTTTTTCTGTGACTTCAAATCCAGTCTTAAACGTGCATAATTACTTGTATAATTCATTTATTTGCGACATTTATTCAAAAGGATTTTTTGGCATAAAGCCTAATTTTTTTGCAAAAAATCACCATACAATCATAAATTTGTGTTATGTAATCACATTCTTTGCATGGTCGACGTTTCTTGCTGATAGTCGGCTTTGGTCTTGCAAGCCCAACTCATCCCCCCCCCTTGTCATATTAAATGAACTTTCCCTATGCATTATTAAAGCTTTAGTTTGTTTCATCAGTTGATCTTTGAGTATAAAGTATAACATTGGTGTAAAAAAATAAAGAATGGAAACAATTGATCTTGGATGTTAATTTTTCTGAAATATGTTTAATCTGGCAAGCCAAGTGGGGGGTATGCCTGGGATATGGTGACCAGATGGTGCAAACAATTTTTTTGAGAGAAGATTTTGGCTTCATTTTTTGGGTAGTGTAATTTGTTCAGGAATTTTCTTAGGTATTCAAAAATAGGAAGATTTGCTGTCAAAACTGGTTATGGTATATGTACATTAGTTGTTTTTCATTGGTTGTTTTAACATTTGCAAATTGTGTTACATTACACTGTTTCCAACCTTGAAGCCCTTGTGAGGATTTTAATGGGTTAAAAACTGACTCGTCCCCAGTCATCTCTAAGTTGTTTCTACTCATTAATTATTTACTAGGGAAGCACTTGGGTTAGATGTAGAGCCCCTAATAATTATGTGAATCACGCTTATCCTCTTCTATGATGGACCCTCCTCCGCGATTGACTAGTTACTTACTACATAGCTGAGGGGAGACACAATTTCTCTTCAAGTCATAAAAAAATTAAAAATGAGTGAAGCGAACAAGCCAAATATTTTTCAACATGAAAAGAAATGTCATATCTCTAAGCAACCATGTAATGTTATTTTATTTTTTAAATACTTATAAAAAACAAAATATATATTTTTTGCTGCAATAGACATGACTTTTACATAACTATAGCAATGGTTATCTTTTCATTATATACAGCAAAGTCTGTATTAAGTGGACCCTATGTTAGCCAGCCTGTGAACTTCAGTTGTCGCTTCACTCCACACAGGCTTATGTTGGGTGGATGAATAGCTCAGTTTATTCCAGGGGTAAAATAAAAACCATTCAAGGTTCAAACTATCAACATTCTACAATGTTAATCTCAATACAATTTATTGCAAAACGTTGGCACTTTTAATGTATGCATACCAAAGGAACTACCCTAACTTCTTAACAAAACTTCGTCACAACGAGACAAGAAGACCTTAATAGAATCTAAATCTTTCCCAGCAAAACTGCATTATAAAACTTCTCTATCAATGGTAACCAACCGTTATAATAAAATACAAGTTTTGATCTACTCTTCTGCCAGACTGCTTTTACAATCTGCATCAGCCATTTTTCCTTTTACCTGGAAGCTGATGAGTGAGGAGAGCATGTTTGATGCCAGTCTGAAAATTGTTTCAAATCTACAATCTGTATGTTAGGTTTAGCTTTAATATAGTAAAGGAGCTTTTTTAATTTTAAGCTCAAATTCTTAAGTGTGACAAATGGAATATAAAATGAATGAAAGTTTCTCCTTTAGTATTTTCATATAGTATGGATTGGTACATTGCTGTTCACATGAAAAAGTCTCTTTAGCAATACTACCTTGTGGCACTGTTTGATACAAGACACAAGTTTGTTTTTTATGAAATTACTATGTGATTTTATGACCTCATGATGAATGGTCACTTTGAGACTAAGCTATCATACTGTTACTGTTACCTATATCTTTTTAGTGTAAAAATGAATTTTTTTACCTTACTTAATCCTATCACTCTCCAAAGCTAATAATAAAAATAATAATAGTAATTTTACTCTGGGCATCCAGACGTTTGAACTGCCATAATAATAATAATAACAATAATAATAATAATAATGGTTACATCCTCTTTTGTGTAACTTTTTGAGTTTGAGGATGAAATCCTGTCACGTGACCTTTCTTAAAATAGAACCTTTGGCAGTACTGTCTGTTTTGTAAGTTGTTCTAACTTCTGAGTCTGTAGATGACATCCTACAGTGTAGCCATTCAAATGAAACATTTAAGCTGTACTTTAACATGATACTATCAATTATTTGTTTTGTACATACTGTAGATATAACATTTGACTCTGGACTTAATCCCTAACGCATGACCAGTCCAATAAAACCATATAATGTAACAGTACTTTTACAAGGTATGTTTGTTTTCTATGTAGTTCTAATTTTATGTTTGTGGACTAATTTTCTATGGTGTGACCATTCAAATGAGACTTCTTCAGCAGTACTTTGACATGATGCTATTTGTCTTTCAATAATTTACAAAAGAGAAATCAAGCATTTTTCCTGAATGTTTGTAAAAGGGTTAACTTAAAGAAGTGAGGTTTTACAGGTTCCCATATGCCAAGAAGATATTAAATAATAACGTACCAGTAATAATCCTACATGTTGTACTTTCACTTCACACATGTAGAGCTTAATAATGAAAGAGAGAATACATTAAGAATGTTGGAGCAAAGGAAAAAATATTTATATTATAATATAGTTTTTGGCCTTTGATGGTATGGGGTGATTTCAATACTGAAGAGTTAACTCAAAATGCCCAAGCTGATTGTCAAAATCCAAGTTTATGATGAAATCATCTTCGTCGACAAACTGTTCAATCATTCGATCATCCATGTTCACAAGGATACTGAAAGAAAGGGAAAAAAAAACCAAGGTGAATATTTCAATGTATATTTAATGTCCCTTTTTCATTAAGAGATATAGATCAAAATAGGTGCAGTGTTAATGGGGGAATGACTGAAACGCAAAAATTTGCAACCAAACGCAAGCTTAAGATGTCAGCTTTTCAATTTTTTTAAAGGTGTAATTCCAATTCAATTGACATTTCAGTGGATATAACTACATTTTGTACTTTTTACAATGACTGTATTATATAAGCATACATGTATGCAAGTTCTCCAAACAAGGGTCAAAGGAAATTAATGGGAAACAATAAAGAAAAAGTGCATTGGCATCGCTGCTTAATAGCTTACCCCTTCTTTGTCTTTTTGTACACATTCTTGATCATTTCAGGTGGCATGCCATATTTACTAGCAACCTACAAAGAAAATAAATTTTGAAAATGTTCTTACTCAGCTCTAAAAACAATCAATCAGAAGATTAAAATGCAGATAAGAAGCTGAAAACAAGGAAAAGTATGAGTATTTACTGATGTTTACAATGAATATTAGGTATGAGAAGACAAAAGAACATACTGCCTCAACCATATCGCCGACTGTCAAGCTGTCCAGCATCAATGCATTGTACACTTTTTCTTCTTCTTTCTTCACATAGATGGTAACAGCTGAGGAAGGAANATGTAATAAATCTGTGGGACGTTAAAGAACCCACACACTCTTCGTAAAGAGTAGGGCACGTAGTGCCCGGTGTAGTGGTCTATCTCACTTTCACACTCATTTACGGGGGCATCATCACTCATTCCTTCAGTACTTGTAAACTGCACCTTAAGCAGTCTGGCAAAGTCCCCCAAACAGTGTTGTAAATTATCCCTGAAAAGCCCTGTGAGGAGTGGATAATAAGATATTTACATTTATTTACATCTCCAGTGCTACTGGGATTTTTATATGGATGGTTATTCCTCATGCAAAGAAAGTCGTGCCCGATAGCCCGAGTCTAGTGGATTTTACCACCAAGCTGGTGAATTCCACCCACTGGCCAGTAAGTTTTCTTGCAAATAAAAATTACATATTAAGAACTGTCAGGCAAATTGACATTCCTAATAATTTCATGTGGACTGAAAGCTGTTTTGCAAGCTGATCTGACAGAAGTGACAACTGCAGAAACAAGTGTCACATTGCATTTGACTTACTTGGCACCCTGTTTTTTCTAAATGCATTTTTCCTGAGAGAAGTGAAACACTTTGGCACAAGAAATATTTTGTCTCTAACCTGGTCTATTGGGTCTGTGGATTTTCTGAACTTTTACCCTGGGAACAACCTCTAAATCAGCAAGCTCATCCTGTGAGATGAAGGGAATCAACAGGCATATTAATAAATTTCAAAATATCATAGAACACTACTTGTAGGAAGAGGCATAAAAACAAGTTCTCAAAATACCTTTGCCATGACAAGATGTGATTGCAGTGTCCTTTTATTTTCTCGATCCCTAAAGTAGGCAACAGGACAATGTCACAACTGTAGTAATTGACATACTAAGCAATATTATTGTTCATAAGTAACTCAAAAGGTATTCATTTTCAAGAGAAAATACTTACTTAATTGATGCCAGAAGGGACAAAGTCTGCAGAGATGATTCTTCAAATCCTCCCTGTAAGCAAAGAGGAAAAGGCGATGAGTAAGAAAGTGAGGACATAAATTGGAAATCAGTACTACAGGTAAACTAATTGAAAGTCTTGGGATTAAAGGTAATGTTACTAATACAATGATCATAGATATGAATCCTGTTGACATCCAGTTACATTTGTCACTTCTCCATTCCATTTCACATTTTTAATGCATTTCATATAATTTTTACATACTACAGATCATTTCACAGTATTGTCAGCTAAAACCTGGCACAAATACCTAGGCCTATTTAGCAAAGGTAATAAAATGTCAAATGAGAATTCATGCGAAAGCATGCACAAAGGATTATACCTAAGTTCTGGTGATCAATATTTGTCACTCTGAGCATGTCATAAACTATTTTGTACAATTTCCTTTTCATAATCTGCCTATCGTTTTCAGTGCAATCCTCAAATGTCAAATGTCTAGATCTACAGTGTACTATTCTGTAAATTTACTCACATGCACATTGTGTACAGCGGGTGTAAACAGAACTGGCTTGGGTCCTAATGGGGTTGTTGTTTGAAGCTGGGTGTATTTACTTGGAGGATGAAACAGAGTTGTAGGTGAAACCATGTTGGGATCTGAAAAGATATTCAAATATTATAAAGAGGGAACTTTTGACACAGAAGTGGCAACAAGTGTTCAAAAACTGCAATTCCTTAAAATGCAGGATGACACAACAAAACACTTACATGTAAAACACACCACAAAAAACAAAGATGCTAACCAGTGAAGCATTGGTTACAGCTCCATCAAGCATTGGCATGGAAAAAAAAACTCTCAGATAAACACTCACCAGCACAAGCAGATGTATTTTGTTTCACCCATTTCTGAATTCTCTTTTCTGCACTTTTTGACTCATCTTTGTTCTTTCGTTCTGCACCCTGTAAGAATAACAGCAGC